TATGACTAACTATAAACAGCTAACCAATAAGTCTACCTCTTGAAAGGTCGAAGTCAAAGGTCACTGCCTTTAAAAAGCTCAGCTTCCACTTTCTTTACTGTCCCTCTTATTCCTCCTCATCTGTGTTGTGTTGGTGACAGTTCGGCGCACGTTTTGCTGTCAATCATGAATCATCCGCCTTCCAATGAGTCTCATGAAGCCAGAGAAGCATCAGACGAAACACCTTTGCTTCAAGCAACAGCTCAATACGTGAGCTTGCCACCTCCAAAAGAACCTCAAAATATTTCCTGGGCATCAATCCCAAGGAAGGGCCAATTGGCTATTATTGTTTTCGCACGTTTGGCAGAGCCTCTCAGCGAGAGGTCTTTCGCATCATACCTCTTTCACCAACTACAATGGTTCAATCCCAACCTCGAAGCCTCTGAAATTGCTAAGCAGGCCGGATACCTGACTGCTGTTTTTGCAGCCGCGCAATGCCTCACTTCTATGTGGTGGGGACATGCGGCAGACAGTCCTCGCCTTGGCCGGAAGCGTGTTCTAGTCATTGGTCTCGTTGGATCAGCGATGTCTGCGTTGGGAATGGGATTTTCAACATCACTGTCTTTTGCCTTCTTCTTTCGTTTTCTAGCTGGTGCGCTGAACGGCAATGTTGGCGTACTCAGGACAATGCTATCCGAGATCATTGCAGACAAAAGGTACGTGACATCAATTGCAATTCAACGCAGAAACATACGCTGACATCCTCGAAGATATCAGTCTCGCGCCTTCCTCCTCCTACCAATGTGTTTCAATGTTGGTGTCATCATTGGCCCTTTCCTAAGCGGCTTTCTCGCGGACCCTGTTCAATCCCTGCCAAGTTTATTCGGTCCTGGTTCGCTCCTTGGAGGCGCTGATGGCGTTAAGTGGTTACGGGACTTTCCGTATGCGCTGCCAAACTTATTCTTCGCCATAGTCTTGAGTACGGCGTCCCTTGCGATCATTTTAGGTCTTGATGAGACACATCCGCATCTAAGGCATAGACCAGACTATGGCCGTAGGCTCGGCAAGCTCATAATGGGTGCAATATTGCCCGGCTGGCTGTTCGGACATACCTCCTCGGAATATCAAGCTGTCCCATGCAGTTCCACTAGTCAGCTTATCATCAATGAGGTTGACGAGGCATCTGTTTTACCACCCGAGATCAAAACGAAGCCCCCTTTTCGAGCTATTTTCACCAAGAATGTCTGCTTAACTATGCTTCAACACTTTCTTCAGTCATTGCACGTCTCAGCATTCAATACTATCTTCTTCAGTCTCCTTCCAGCTCCCAAGGCAGGCAACATTAATTTTCATCTGCCTTTTCGCTTCTCTGGTGGTCTTGGGCTCTCAAGCAAGAAGGTAGGTTTTGCAAATACAACAATCGGCATGATTGGAATACCATTGCAGTTGGTTATTTACCCAATGCTCATTGGTAATCTTGGTGTGAAGAGATCATATCGAATCTTTTTACCCCTTAGCATCGCCGCATACTGTCTGCTACCCTACTTAGTTCTATTACCCGACAATGTGGTTCTCATTTGGACATGCTTATCAGCGGTGCTTATATTGCACCTTCTATCCCGGACATTTGTCAACCCTGCGACGGTCATGTTAGTAGATGATTCAGCACCAAGTCCGAACCTCCTTGGTACTGTACATGGGGTGGCTACGAGCATCTCGAGCGCTGCGCGTATCATGGGACCAACCGCAGGTGGTCTTATGCTTGGCTGGGGGCTCTCTCATAATATCGTCGGGCTGCCACTATGGGTATTGACTATTGTGGCGGTGGTGAATTGGACCGTGCTGTTCTGGATCAAGGATGTCAATATGTCTCACTAGGTAACCATTGTGGTGCAGCGCGAGCCATGATCTATAATATAATCCACATGACACACATTCCCAACAGCCGTTCCATATATTAGCGTGTGTATAGATATCATGAGGCTCACTTATGCAGCGATTTATTCAGAGATTGACCCCATGATAATTAGTCACGGACTTGATCTCCTAGCAGTCATAAGCTGACCTGTCCGTTATCGGATACCACAAATCCGTGCCGAAGAGTAAAATATTGATGTTTGGAGCATTCGCCATTTTCTTAATCGCTCCGCTGTGAGAAACAGTTGTGGGGTGAGATCCTTGCCTGCAGCCATCAATAGGAGACAAACACTCACCGTGAGGAATCTTGGTGGGCATTGACCCTTGTCGACCAGGGTTCTCCAGGAGACTTTTCTCTCACAGTGAGAAATATGCAGCCTTGACATCCCTGTCTGTGAAAAATAATCCACTTTTTTGTTATCAGATCACTTGGCAATGCTTAGCGTTGCCATCTTGGCTGCTTCTAGCTTGTTTCCCGCCCTCGTAGAATGAAGACACCGCTTGCGTGGCTTACTAAAACAGACAACTACTTTCTCACGATGTATCCGGTACTTGTACAAGAGGTGCTCCATGACCTGTCCCCCACCAATAGACCTCTGAGTGCGAAAGTGCTAAGTCCAATTTGCCATCGAACTAACCGCCACTGAAGTGGTTCCACGAGGCGATCGGGCCCCAACCAGTCAAAGTGGATACTATAACGCCTGATTATGCGCCTAGATTCTGGTTCTCTGTTCACTTCTTGATGATGTGGGAAGGGCGAGAAGCGCGTTGTTGGAGGCTCCTTGATGGGACTGATGTGCTTGAGCAGCGGTTGATTTTATCTTATCAATCAGATCTATGTTCAGGTGGTTCAGTCTCCCCTAGCCAGATACCACGTCGGCGAAAGCCTGCTCACACCAAAAATGATGAATGCGACCAAACCTCCGAGCATAAAGCAATTGAGGAATGAAGAGGCGCTGAAGATCTACGCTGGTCTTCTCGGTAGCTTCATATTCCTTGTTGTTGCCGGGCGCTGGCTACGCACAGCCCGCGATGAGCGTCGTCCTGAGCTACAGCATCCTGGCCTAAGAGTTCTGCATTATTTACTCCGGTTTGTATTTCTGATAATGATTCAAATCATAGCATGCTAAGGGTTCCCTAGGAAGCTAGAAAGGCGTGTAAATTGGAAATGGATTGGCCGACCGTCTTTTGGACTCGTTGCAATGGTCGGGTCCTATGTTGTTATCAATGCTGTACTCTCCTGTACCGTTCTCGCAACCTACCAGGTGAATCATTTTGCGTCTAGATTTGGATGGTCTTAACTTCAATCCGTCCCTGTTTTTGAAGTGTAGTGGCTAATGTGTCTATTCAGGATGGGAGCTGCCAACATGGTGTTATGCGTGTTTTTTGGCCTCAAAAATACACCATTGTCCCTTTTGGCGGCCGTTTCTCATGCTCAGATGAATTATTTTCATCGGATTGTAGGCTACACGACGGTATTACTTGTGTTCCTTCACGCTGTCTTCTACACAATGCACTTTGGCCGCCTGCATCGCTGGGAAACACTGGCAGAACCAAGCAATATACTGGGCATCAGCGCTGGTGTCGCCATGTTGATATTACTCATGGGAATTTATAGGCATTGGCACTATGAATTATTTTATCTGAGTCATATCGCTGGCTTCATATCTGCCGTCATCATGACCGGGTTACACCGGCCAGATTGGGCAAAAAAGCTGCCTGTAGTGATGATTTTCTCTGCACTTCTTTGGATGCTGGATCGAATCATTAGAGGAGGCAGATTATCCTACAACTTGGTCAACAACCATGTCAGCTTCTTTCCGCTTACGGATGGTGGAACATGCTTGCTTCTGAAAAAGCCGTACATGGAAGTTGCGAAACCAGGATCACATTGTTTCCTTTGGATCCCACGACTTCAATTCTATCAAAATCATCCGTTCACTATTGTCAGCAACGGCCCATATGGCCTCGAGTTGGTGATAAAATCACAGGAAGGTTTCACAAAAACTGTGTCCGAGTTTGCAGTCCGGCAACCAGGCCGTACGACGTGGGTTTCGGTCGATGGTCCATACGGTTCGTTACCGGATACGACAGCCTATGACAAATTGATTCTCATTTCTGGAGGAAGCGGAGCTGCATTCACATTTGGGCTGATGAATCGCATATTGGATCACTCTGACGGAATAAGACTGCAGTCTATCGACTTCATATGGGCGGTAAAGAGGGCTGGTGCGTATTCCTGCAGATTTCATGTACAGGACTCTTGTTAATGACTGACAGAACACCTGATTTGGTTTTGCCGGCATTTGTCTAATTTCAAGATGTCGGGCTTGCAGATAAATGTAACTTTATACGTCACCAACGACGAATCGGCCACTACAGATGTTGAGGATACCGTGCGTGGTGCTACTAGCTGTGTCGAAGCCCGAAACGGGATGGAAATCGGATGGCCAAAGAGACCATCAATACTTCATGAACACCTTGTGGAGACCGACGACTTGCAAGTGCCTACCAGCAAGATTGTTGAGCTCGCTGATAATGTCCATTACACGAGAATGAATACCGATACGGTGATTCAAGAGTCAATGCAGAAAATTGGAAGTCATCAGAGAGTCCTCGTGGCGACTTGCGGACCGAAATCGCTTATGGATGCCGTAAGAGATTCGGTTGACATTTGCCGCATGGATCCAAGTAGTAGAGTAGACCTCCACTGTGAGGATTTTAGCGCCTGATAATTCGAGTAAAAAGGAGCAATACCGTTCTAAAACCGACAACATGAGTTGCAAGTGTTTCGATGTCCTACGCGTCCATCAGTAGATTGGAGCAAAATAGAGTGACATTTAGCGTTAATTCCGTAACGAGGGCTATAGACATCGGAGATGCGAGTTACTCGAGTCATCCATCCCCTAAAGTCTCGAGTCCGTTGCACAAACTAAGTGGTCCTCGTGGGTACTTTGGCGCCCAGTAGCTGGGTACTTCTGTGGATACAGCGGTGGGTACAGGCAGGGCAGCACGTTCCCGAGCACGGCCTTGGCAGGATGAATTGATTTTATCTGATCTTGAGATAAGATGAGATATAAGCCGCGACCGATCGCAACTATCTAATGGTATTCGCTTCTTCGTCAATTCAATCTTCTATTCCTTGGGACTCCTTGACTATTGATACTTCGCGACTTGATCTCATGGCCTCGGACAAAGCTGGCACAGGGCCTATCGTGGCCGTGGACGATGCCATTGTCTCACCTCCTCGCTCCGAGCCCGATGAAAAGGGTCCTACGGACGTTAGCAGTACCGAAGAGTCCGACAAGCCCAAGGACTTCCCTTTGAAGTGGAAGCTCACGGCTCTTGCTTGTGGTATTGCCCTCTCGTGGGGCTCATCGTTCTCAGAAAACACCCTGGGGCCATTGAAAGAAACATTAAAGAAGGAGTTGGAGATTACCAATGCTCAGGTACGTCTGGAAGTTGAGTTCATTTCTGAGTGCAGAGTACTCACGATGTGTTCCGTAGTACGGAGCCATCTCCTCGGCCACGTCGCTTGTGAATACAATTCTCCCAATTATCGGCGGATATGGGCTCGACTACTACGGTGTTGAATGGTGAGCACCTCCTCCTACATACTCTCAATTAGCGAAGTATATGTGCTTGCTATATGAACATTGCTAACATTATCTGCGAACAGGGGATCAATGGTTTGCTCAGTCTTCATTCTCCTGGGTGCTATAATATCGGCTGCTGGTTCCAACCAAGACACGTTCGGTCTTGTCATGGGCGGTCGAGTCGTCATGGGTTTCGGCAGCACTGTCATTGAGACTGTTACATCCAAGATTCTGGCACATTGGTTTCAACACAGAGGACTTGGCCTAGTCTACGGTCTGGACATTGCCGTCGGTAAGTCCTGATATTATATAGAATAAGTCATCAGAAACACTAATAAACGTTTTGTATGATAGGAAAACTTATCGTTCTAGCAGCTAAGGCCGCCGCCGTTCCTATGAGAGATGCTTCTTCGTTCTGGGGCTGGGCATTGTGGATTCCGGCCATTGTTTGCTTCGTCAACCTCATACAAAACATCTTCTACGTCTGGTGGGCCAGCCGCCGTCCCGAGTGGGCCAAAATGCCTACAGGCAGACGGCTAGCCCAGCAGGCAAGAGACCGTCAGGTTGTACAGGCCGAGGGCGGACAAGCCGTCGAGATAAATAACACCGGCTCCCGTCACTTCACATTTCTTTTCGATTGGAAGACTATTGCTCGTGTGCCCCGTTTCTTCTGGCTGGTGGTATGCTCTCAAATCCTTCAAGCTGGTGTCGTCGGCGGCTTCAACGGCCTCAATGCCGACATCATCCGGTCGACTCGAGGTTCCACTGAGCAGATCGCCGGCTACACGTCGGCCGTGCAACAAGTCATTCCCGTCGTTTGTACACCGTTGGTCGGCAGTTTCTTCGACTTCTTCGGCCACAGAATGATGATTGTCAGTCTGACATCGGCTATCTGGATTCTGGTATATAGTCTCATCGGATTCAGCCATGTCAATGCTCTCGGCGTCATGATTATTGCATCTGTGGGATCAACAATGAACGCTCTACCGTTCTTAGCTTCCATTCCCCTGATGGTCCCGAGCCAAGTCGAATTGGGTCTCGTCTTTGGCATTTGGAAGGCATTCAACAACAGCGGAAGTGTCGTTGTCGACATGATTGCGGGCAGGCTGCAAGATATTACCCCGGGACAAACGTATGAGCGCGTGATCGCTTTCTTCGTGGCTTGTAAGGTCTTAGAGTTCTGCCTAGGACTCTTCTACGGTGTGTTGGACAGAAGGTAAGCCATGCCCAACAGGATCGATTGACAAGGTCTTGTTGCTAATGATTTATAGGTATCTGGCTGGCATTCTCACCATGAGTGAGAAGAAGCGCCTGGTGATTGAGCACGAGGGCAAGCTCGGAGAACCTATCGGACGCAAGCCCGCCAAAGTCTTCACCATAACAGGCATTAGCCTCTTATGTTCTCTAGTCGTCATTGCTTGGGTTCTGTTCATTAAATACTCTCTTTAGTTCAGATACAGAGGCGGGTGGGCAGATGTAACCTGAGAGCAATAGCTCCACACTTTGGTCCTATGGCCGCGACAGCTGGCCCGCGTCATTCAGGTTGTATGGGCTGGATGATTGTGTATGATTGTCGTCTAGGGAGCAATACTTTAGTGTTCTGGACCCGGGCAATGTAGAAAGTCAACCCCTCCGAAGTAGATTGAAAGAAGATAATCGGCTTCAGGGTACATAGAGAGAGGCGAAAATGTATATAAGTAATTAGTGCAGGCGATGGACATATTGCAGTAGATGAGGAGGTATTGATCAAGATTCTTCACTGTCTCAATTCTCAACCTATTGGCATCACAGGTCACAGGCCTGACATAGCTTCAACACTCCTATTATCATCCATCGCCATCTAACAATACGCGTTATTAGGCGCTTGAAATCATCCTGTTCTCGGCTGCCCTCTCCTTTGCCATCCCCAATCCAATCATTCGACAAGCTCTTGTCATCCCACTCAAACTGCCAGTGCAGTGCCGCAAATCAGTACAATGCCCATAACGGTTGTGAAGACGACCGCCAGCCCATTGTCCACCGTGATGGCAGGCACGTTGTCGAACTGGGCCACAGTACGCAGTGTGAGGTTTCGCTCGGCCTCGGTCAGCGCGACAGTTGTCAGGTTGCCGCACATGTCGTTCAGTGCCTGGTCCTTCGTCATAGCAGGCAGCTTGGCAATGGCGGCGTCGAGCATGGCCGCGTTAATCGAGGTACCGACAGGGGATGCGGCCATGAACGGCGCTCGGTAGCTGCTGTTTGCACCAATTGTAGAGAGGTTGGCGATGCGGCTATACTCCATGCACTGCAATGGCATGGAGCCAGTGCCGACGGCTGCGGTTTGGCGAGCAACAATCTCGGGGGCATCGGCGGGGACGCTCACGGCCAAAACGGCCTGGAAGACGGAGAGGGAGAGGAGAACGTGGGCGAGGAGAGAGTTCTGCATGTTGGCGGCAGCGTAGAGAAGGATTACAACAGAGAGAGACTGGAAGAGAGTCGTAGAAGAAGTGAACGATATCGAAGCGAAGGAAATGCGCCGGGCACAGAAGCAAAAGTGGCCAGCCACGAATAGAACAAACGACAGCGTTGGAGACTTTGATCAATGGTGAAGACACGAAAAAACACAAGAGAAAAGAGAAATCGAGGGTGGCTCGGCGTTGTACGAGACGATTAGTCTAGTGCAGATACCGTCATAGCGCCTGTCATCTGAGGCGGACCCCTGGGCCTCCGTTGAATCGCAGGTCGGACGGTTCGCGTCTCAGGATGACACGATCCCCTTGCGGCGAACCGTCGCACGACCACGTCAACGTCAACGTCTATGAGATGAGATGGGTTGACATCTTCATCGTAAGATTAGCTCTTGCCAAGACATTCCTTGGACGAAACCATCTCAATCTTTCAGAGGCAGTACTCTCGCTCTCTCCGCCATTGAGACTGAATTGATTGTTGTCTCTATCTTGTCTCTTCAGGGTGAAGACTGTAGTGTTTTGGCAGCAATTAAGCTTATCCGCCGCTAGTCTGGCCTGCCGAGTTTCATGTATCCCTGTGCGCAAGCCACCTGCCGGAGCTCGGCTGCGCTCTTGGCAGTGGCGTTTCCAGTGCTTCTTCAATTGACGGATCTGGGTGAAATCTGCACCGGGGAGATCTTAAAGCCTGCCGGTACTCTGCAGCTGCGTTTCTGTACAAGAGAGTTGCTCTGAAAGTGGCTCTGAAAGTGGCTCTGAAAGTGGCTTGGAGCCTCCTCACTACTGCCATGAGAAATGTCAGCCCTTACGATGTCCATGTTCAACGTCATGGCAAACCAAGATCAGTACAGTCAAATCATTTATTCTATCATCTAATTATTCATTACAGTGTTCGCAATCAATTACTTGAGGCTACCTTTCCTGCAGTGGCAAGTTCATTGTCTGGCGAGGGAGATCTGGCTCTCTGCTTCCATGGCCGACACCTTTGTCTAGACCAAGCTTCTGTGCGACTTTCTTCCCAACCTTTACGCTGGGCATATCTAGTGTCCTCGTCCCAAAGTCCGCAACCACGAGGCAGATCGGAAGTATAATGGCCATACTAGCCACGAATCTAGAATCAGGCCCTGCGGGGCCAAACTTGGGAATCCATAGCCGGTTGTTCCACCAGCTCGGCGCTGTGTCTGGATAGGTCACTCCCACCATCCGGCTGACTCTGCCACCCAACATGGCCAGAATCGGGAGATGAACCAGGTATAACATGAAACTGACCTTCCCGAGATATCGAAGCGGTCGTGTATTGAGAAACGTCTGGACAAACGATAGCCGTAGCGCGGAGTAAACAAGGAAGAGAGCCCCCCAAGAATGCCAATATCGATAGTACTGGTCCTTGTCGTAGGCACGAGGCGTCAGCATTGTCAAGTGCTTCCATCCAGGTGTTCCAAGTGAATATTCGGGGGAACCGGCGTGGGCGGGTTGGCATAGCAAGTAGTAGCCTACCACGAACGCGAGAAGCCGCAAGGCGGCTTGAGCTCGCAGGGTGAGATGACGGGAAAGGAATGTTGTATCCATGGAGTCTACATCCAGCATCGCGAGAATAAGTCCGCTGATGAAGCAGGCCATTGTCCAATAGCCGAGCTGAAGTAGGGTGAAAACACTAACCGCCAAGAGGCATAAGCTAGCACGCAGCGAGAGATCGCTGAGTGCATATATGGCGGTTAGCACGTAGATCAACATCGAGCCCTTCAACTCAATTGGAATTGTCCAAACGACAAGGCTGTAGGGATACCAAGCCTGGTTGGAACCGTGCGTCCGGAAAGGATTGAAGAACTTGACGGATTCCGAAACCCAATGCCCAAGCTCGGCAAGGAGCGACTCTTGCGGTGGCGGCCACAACACTTCTGCCATGAGCCCAAACGGTGCGTGCATCAATATAGCGACGGCCAAAGTGACGCCAAGGGTCGGGATATAGAGACGGAACGGCCGGCGGATGACGGCAGAGAAGAGATTCAGCACCGCAGCATCATGCTTCCCATCTCGAACGAGCCGTAGCGGCGACACGCTTAGAACATACCCAGACAACACAAAAAAGACTGCAACGGCTGCACTGCCGCCGCTAAAGGCAATTCGCACGAAGGGCAGGCCAGCAAAATAATAGTTGCCGTTCTCACCGAAACCGTGCTCGTGAACATTCTCGTCAAATGTCCCAATGTAGTGTTGAATCAGGACGAAGAGGGCGGCGATACCTCGAAGACCGTCGAGGAAAGCGGTGGACCGAGTCGTTGCCGGTGTGGCCAAAGGCGTCCGTATGGCTTCGCGCGTCTCCGTGGGCTGCTCGGGTTCGTCGACAGGTATTGGTCGATGCCGCGCAGTCCCGAATACCCAATCCATTGCTCTCTCATAAGGTTCCCTCCACCCTTGTTTCTGTTCAAGCATCGTTGCGGCAGAGGGTCCTTAACATCGTCGTCTTCAAGCGACTCCCACTCGGGGCGGGTTAGGCGAAGAGTTGAAGGCACGAACAAGAGTGTTCTCACAATGGCAACGATGGATTTGAGCTTTGTTGTCGCGCAGCTCAGTTCAACCCCCCGCATTCCGGCCGGCACTTCTCCTATTTCTATTCCATAAGGAGAATTGGAGATCCAGGATGGGTGACATCGCATTGCCAAGTTTATGCTAGGCAAGCTTGTAATGGGGCCCTCACTAAGCCTGTTGTGACCATGTCCGTGAGGGGTGCCAGCAACTATTCCCCAACTATCAGATGCTAACTCGGACCACACCATCCCAAATTGCATACAACTGGCGTGCTGATCGCCCGCCCCCTGCCTCGGTTCATTTACCCGCAAATCAACAAAATAAGCTCGCTCGTGATCATAAGCATATAATAAGATTACCTCAACAAGCAGTAACAAAGCCGTTATTCAATTGGCCATAGCTCGAGAAAATTACATCTCACAACAGGTATTGACTTATCAAAGACAGTTCTGATCATGAGTCAATAAGGATGCCTGTGCAACAGATAATCAAATCAAGCCCTTGAAAAAGGTCTTTACTTTCGTCGACGAGAAATATCATTCCTTGTTTGTAATCATGCTATTGGTTTACATTGAGAGTAAGAAAGCCTTCGGAGTCATCAGACTCTTCATAGTCGATAATGACTTTAAAGATGGGTGTTCATGGAAAGTTTGAGTTTACTGAAACATATGTATATTGTTGAAAGCGCTGTTAAGATTATGTGTGACATGTATGTTAGCTTGTTCTTTGAATAATTCATAGTCTATCATTTTTTCCAAAGAACATAAGTTTTGATCAAGTTGTAAATCTTGATTCACAGGTAGCTGCACATCCCGACATTCGTGTCCGTCGCACTAGTGTATATGATCAAAATTGGGTCTCGATTTATTCAGTACACAGATGAGCAGTAAGAGGAGCCACGATTGCGAATTTCGCGAGGAAGGAATGAAAATGCGCTTACTGCCATAGACGTAATTGCCAACTAAGCAGTCCCAATGACTTAACAGTGACTCTACTGAGCAGGTTTTGAAACTATAAGAAGAGTCTACATCTCTAGAAAAGGCACAATTTAAATATATAAAAAATATATAGTTTAATGTCGCAAACACAACTCGAACGATTAGAGAAAATTGCGTAAAAGGGACTTGGCCATTATGGCATCAAGAGCCCTTAATCTGAGCATCCAGTCTTTGAATGTACGGATATTCCAAGACCCCGTAGCGGCAAGAACAGAAGCCTTCGAAATCTTCCGCATCCTGGCACACTATCTCCAGCCTGGCAACGTTAGGTCAGAGATAGAGACGGCACTTGAGATTCTTGAACCCTATTTCGCCAAATCCGTCTTCAATTACCCTATGCTCAATTTGGTCGTCTTGGAGCTCGCAAAACAGATACCTAGCCGTCATGCCTCGCAGCTCAAGCTCGCAAGGCTCATGCTTTGTATCGGAAATCGTCCAGAGCGAGTCGAGAATCTTCTCGCTAAGGTCTTGCCACCTCACAGAGATTCCACTTGTATTGGACAGCGATCGCTGACCTAATTTAGGGGGCCACGCCGGACACATTTTACAGCTCGCTCCGCCAAGAGATATTAGTCCGGAAGCCCGTTCTTGGTAGTCGCTCTGTGACGGCCTACAGTGAAGAGGCGATCAACTATACAGCTTTCTATGCCAATCTCCACGTCGTTGGATTCTGGAAGGGCGATGTTCGGCCTGCGATGAACGCCATGAAACAGGCTCTTGAGAATCCCGAAGCCCTTCCATTTACACAAGATCTTCGTAGACAAGTAGCAGCCCAATGGATCATATCATACGGGCCAGGGCTATTCCAGCAAATTGATTGTGTGAGTGATGTCTGGGACGGGCAAATGAGCTGCTGGAGACTCGCACGGCCAACAGAGATTCTCACACTGGAAATGTGGCAGCAATGGAGAGAGGGATTCCACGAGCGACTACATGATCCAGATATCCCTTCGTGGCTTGAATCGTACTTTACTGTAGTGTGCAACTATATGACGGCTATAGAAGCAGCATTAATGCCATTATCTGTAGAAGTAGAATCTGAGTGGTAGGTTGAATCCGAGACATGTGTAGTTGAGAGGTGGGGCTCACTTGTGCGTTAAATTATATAGGAGACAAGGTGTTCTTAGATAGTCAGTTGATATTCTACCTTCCATTACTTTGACACTTATTTCCAAAAAGACTATCAATGTGCCGTGGTCTTTAGGAATACATGCAACATCCAAGTACGGTCTCCCCTCCCAAGACCGACGAGGTGACTTGGGCTTAGCCTCGGTCATTCACCAGTGGCATCCATTACCTCCCGGTTCGTTCATTGAACATACTAGTCCAGGTCATCACTATCAGGTGACTGAGATGTTTCATGAGGCAACCTGACACTATGCTCACACCATGACCATGTAGGAGTGTGAATATGACGTGGGCATGCTCGGTCCTAATGGCTGCCGGGCATCGTGCTGCATGTCTGCGAGTAGCACTCGTACACATGTGAGGCCAGTAGCAACCACTATATGTTTGCTCCATCGAGATAGAGATCTGAAAGAACTCCCCTGAAGACGACATGTCTCTTTTGGTTGATGCTGTAATCGACGAGGAGCCGCTGATCTATATTTCTTGACCAGAATTAAGCAGCGTTTGTCTCAAGATTGTGGTGCATCATTCAAACCTTCCATTCATCCAGCAGGTCCCCCGTTTCTATGAGGAGACCTCTGCTGTCGCAAGGGAAGCATATCTTGCAGCAGGAACTTCTGTTCCTGAGCTTCTCGTCCAGTTGGCACATATTGCCTCGGCTGGTTTGCGGTATCGGGCAGCTCTTGCTCCCACCCATAACCATGATGACCGTCTCTCGAGGGCAGCTCCACGGCACCCAATACTGGCGATGCAGGCCGCACCGGAGGCATATCCGGAGTAGCAGGTCCGTATAAGTTCGTCATGTCGGATCTCGCGTCGTCCTTCCCGTAGAAGCCGGGCAGTTGCTGCGCACCGAGCATCTCTTCGTCCTCAACATAGCCTGGCGGCGAGTGTGGCCGCTCGTCTTGAGGCGAACGCTGCGGTGACTGTTGCGGCGAATGTGGGAACAAACTCGACGTAGATGCAGCGTGGTCGTCGTTCCAGTTCTCGGGCACGACCGAGAAGTAGTATGATCCGCCGCCATACGAGCTGGGTCGCTTCTCGAAATGACCTGCATTTGCGAGATTGATGATCTGTTGCTGGGCTTGCTGCTGTCGCTTGCGGCGGCGCCACCATACGGACGCAAAGAAGCCAGCCACACCGAGGATGACCATCGTGACGCTTATTCCTATTCCAGCTTTCGCACCGGCACTAAGCCCTTTGGATTTCTTATCAACCCTCTCCTCCGGTATACTTGTTTCGGCCGTGGATGTCGCGGTCTCACTCGGAGATGTCGATGTGGCGGTCGCTTGGGGAAGTCCCCATGTGGTTTGTTCGCGCTGGTTCGACGACAGCGTCCAGCCCTGACTGTTCGCTCCACCGCCTCCGGACGTCGCCGGTTTCAAGTCGAACCAACATACGTAATTACTGGTAAAATTCATCGATACAAGCGTAGAACCGTCGTAGGGTGTCGCTTCTTGCATTCGAACTGCGGGAACAGCATAGGTCAGCATCTATTCAACAACGCTCCTCTCTTGAACTCGAGCCACCGAGGACGTACCTTGTCTTATGGAATCATCTGCCTTTCGGCAGAAGGTGAAGAGATACGGCTCGGAAAATGATGATGTGTAGGTCACATTGACGGTGTCCAAGTAGTAGAACATCTCGCCGCCGGCGGGATAGAGGAAAGTAACGCCATTGTCGGTTTCAGCTCTTGCACCACCCGAGAGCAGCAGACTCCAGCACACCCCGAACAGAACGAGCGGAAACGAGCCTACACCGCGATGGCGGCTCTGATGTCGCAATGCCGTCCCCATCCCCGCGATGACGATGGGACCGCGAAGGAAGAGACCGATCCGAGACGGCCAGGAAAATGGGGGTGGGTTTTCATGGACTGCGAGGGGAGAATGGGAAGGGGAAAGACTGCGCTTAACGATCCTGCCGGGCGCGGTTCAGCATTATGGGCAATGCGAAATGACGATCCTGGGCCAGCTGGCCACTGAGGAGGCTTGGACTTGGTTGCAAGGATGGATTTAGCAACAGCGCTGCGCAGCGCTTGGCCATTGGCTCCATTGGCTCTTACTAACGCGAGACGCCTGGGATGCGAATCCTTCCACTGCCCGGCTCCAACAGCGACTCTTCAATTTCAGTGCTGGTCACTGCATAAGCCAATTGAACGCAGCAGTTAGACGGCCACGCTTTAAAAGCTGACGAGAGAGAACCAGAAAAACGCCTGTCGTGTTCGCCTTGTCGGGGGCCGTATCAAGCTCTTACTGTCAGCCATTCTCCATAAAACCTAGCCCAGCCCGCTGTTAGCTCGCGGGACCTACTTAGAACGGCCCATTACTGAGCCGGTGGTGGCTTGAAGCTGAAAGTTTGCTGCTGTTAGTTCCCGATCATACGCCACTTCGAGATCGAGACACAGCTGTCAAGATCTACGCCGCGAATGCGTAACCGCCCAACATCGAGTATATGTTCCAGAAAGAAACGTCGGGTGAATACTCCAAAATATCGGCTACGTTGGCCACAGTTCGCATATTCCCTGCCTCAGCAATGTGTTTCAAAACCACTACGCCCCACACGCGCATGTTGGGGTCCGCGCCGTACTTGACAGCTCCATACAGTGGCGCTATCAGCGTATAGCACTGCAACGTCTGGAGAGGCGTAAATGGCAGCCTATTCTCGGGCCTTGCGTGTGGCAGGACGAACTGCGGGACGCTGGCGCATATCTCCTGGGAGAGCTTGCTAATGGTTGTAGCAGCAGACGCACTTTGAACAGCATTGCCATATTGCATGATCATACGATTGATGAGGATCCGCTGTGTCCGACTGACATTGCGCACTTGTGTCACGAAGTGGTCGTGGTAGACATCGTAGAACCTCCCGAAAACGAGTGGGCTCTCAGAAGCGGTCATCACTTTTCGGGGCTGCCAGAGCGGTTTCAAGCTTTTGTCTAGTTCAACAAATAGCTTATCAATTCGCTTTGCAGCCGCGAGAATCTGGGCATCGCTAGTAAGCATCCCGTTGCGTACGTCGGCTTCTAGGTTGACCACATCCATCACAAGTCCTGTCACAAGCCACTTCGAATCGTCTTCGTCCATGAAAGGCTTGAGCTGCTCACGCAGCCCCATCACAGAGTCCGGGATGCGTTCGTTCGCTGCCCCGCAGCTGATGATGAGGGTTATTACAACGCGGACGGCCAGGCGCCGGCTCACATAGTCCCTTATGTTCTTGTTTCCACGCACGTGGACAAGAGCCATAGCCCCATTGACATGGCTCATCCACGAAGCAGACGACAGTGGATCTCGATTGACAATCTTTTCATAGAGGTCCAGGAGCAATGCCGACTGTAGAGTTGCATCGGTCACTTCCAAGCTCGATGTTTGTAGCGACGAACCCAGCCGCCGGATCGCCGTCAAGTAGCTCTCACCTGCAAGAGCGTAGAGGAAGGGGGCGTCATAATGATAAGACAGGAACGCCAAGCTAACGGCATCCACACTTGCGTACAGGTGGTCGTCAACGACGGCATGCTCATACAGCGGCGCGAGCATATCATAACTCCGGGACAGGCCGAAGACGTAGTGCGAGAAGAAGGCATGCCGAGCCCGCACCTCCCAAGCGGGAGAGAGTCCAGCCGGAGCCAGCACATGGGACCGGTGGGCGCGTACAAGGGCTTTCTGCCTTACAGCAGGGGTCTCATCGTGAATGATAAGCTGATTGGGTTCCCGGTAGCCGAAACAGCGAAAGCCTTTCCTCCTACATTGACCACAGCCTTCCTTCTTTAGATCGCACTGGACAGGTCAGCGCACCAATGCAAAGTGTAGGGGTGCTGGGCTAGGATACCGACTTTGAGCTTTCGCTTCCTGCAAGGCAGGCAATCTCTAGACGGCCTACCGACATTGACCATGACGCCTCACGTCAACTCTCATCTTCAAACAAAGGAGAGGCTGATACACGCTGACATTTCCGTCCTAGATGTCGTCGGCTTGAAGCAGCTAGTGAGAAATGCCGAATGCTCCCAGATCTCCTTGGGAAGGATTTAGACTCCACGATGGTGCCTGGTCCAGCGCGGCCGAAGTACAGCGACACTAAACCTAATGAAGCTAGCCTTCCGGTGACATCACGAGAAGGTGGAATATATAATATATTTTGAATGAAGGGCAAAAGTGCACTTTCCACCGCCTGATATAATAGCGGACCGGTATCAATAATCATTTGCGACTACTTGGCTTTCATCGAGCCATTATCTCCGTCTTCCCGCGATGTTGGTGCATAAAGCCGATGTGGCGAGTCGTAAATCGGCATTGTGACACCCCAGATGTCCTGCCAGAATTCCGGAACGCTAGCCGCTTTCGGCTGAGCCACCTACAACGTGCAGTATCAACGACAGCCACAGATGAGCCAAGAGGCGTCATTGAAGCACCAATATTGTTGATGAGACTTGTGCTTTGTAGGCGATAAATGGAGTTATCTATTTGGATTCTATGCCGGTAGACACACTGCACACGTTTGTATAACCGGATAAGTCCGATTGAAGGCCGACACCTGTGATACCGTCCCAGGCATACTTAAAGACACTGTCCGATCTCAAGAATTGTAATAATCACAAGAGAGCTCAAATTCACCTACAACACCTGGACACCATAAACATGCCTTTTCAGTACAAGCGAGTGCTCCTCGTCGGTGCAACAGCGGGCATCGGCGCCGCCATGGCCGACAAGCTCATCCAAGAGGGCAGCAAAGTCATCGCCGTTGGTCGCCGACAAGATAGGCTAGATGCCTTCATCGAGAAGCATGGCTCGTCAGTCGCGAGCGGTATTCGTTTTGACACCACTGATAGAGATGGTATGGACTCATTCGTGGATAAGTAAGCAGATTACCCCTGAAGTCCAGACTTTTCACTCGTGATGCTAATTGTGTCCAGGGTTCTGAAAGACTATCCTGATCTGGACTGCGTCTTCCTCAACTCCGGGACCCAGAGTCAAATTCGACTGTCTCGGCCAGGCGAGGTGGATATTGCGGCCTTCCACAACGAGATGAACACCAACTTCGGCAGCATTGTTGACTTGTCGCTCAAATTCCTTCATCACCTGCAGCAGAAGAGTTATCCTACTGGGCTGATCATCACGGGGACCAACCTCGCCATCATCCCAGCAGTCACGATTCCTGCTTACTCTGCATCAAAGGCAGCGCTAAATGCGTTTGTCTACTGTCTACGTCGTCAAAACCAGGATAAGTCAACCAAGATCATCGAGCTTTGGCCACCTGTTGTTCAAAGTACGTCTCTCGCCAAATAGTCTGCAATTGAAATGAATGTTATGTGCTAACTACCGTCCAGCTGAACTCCATGATTACATGGGTGAAGAAAGGGGTCGTGCTCTGGGGATGCCCGTGAACGAGTTCGTCGATAAGGCGTACGCCGGGCTGGTGTCGGGGTCAGACCACGTTATAATAGGTTCTGTCGGGCCCGAGGATCTGTTCCTGGACATTGCGCATAAGAGGCGGCAGGCGTTTGACAGCTTGTCCAACATTATGCTCCAGCACTATGAGTTGTAATCCAGGGAGCTCGTTTACTGCCTGATGTATCCCATCATCGAATAGCCATATCAATCACTCAAAGTTGCCAATCATCTTTTCCAGTTCGCGCTTACAATTGTCTCTTTTGGCTCGTGCCTCCTCTAGCTTTGTTTTCAGGACATTTGACTGGCGAACTTCCGAAATAGTCATGATAAACTCGCAAGACAGGCAGTGTTCCAACTCTAGATCATCAGCTTGAGTGACGAGATGGCGGTACTCTGCGGCCTGAGAGAATGATTTGAATTTGTGTCCTAAGTGTTTGTCGCAGTTTCACAGGCCAGCTCTGATGCGTCAATGCATCAATACCCTGTTGATTAGGGAACCACGCGCCTGACATCTTAACACCTGGGATATGCTCTCTCGGTCAGTATCGAAATAATTGCCACTATAGAGAGTCGTAATTTGAGGTCTGCAAGCTTTCGGAGGACATACGTGTTCTGATTTTGCAATGTATCCACCGATCATGGACAAACTGATTCTGGTAGAGCTTGGTGGCAGGAGTTGAGGTAACGGGCAACACAGCAGAGAGAGATATGAATATTTAATATAGCATTTCATGTAAAGCACTCGCTTTACAATTCTGCCTTCTCTTTATGTAGAAGTGTACCAGCGGCGACAACTGCAAGCTGCTCCAACAGACCGAGACCCCAATCAGGTAGGAAGCCTTTCTTTCTCGCTACTGAACGGCAGGCTACAGCAGCCCTTTCCGCAATCATATGCTTATAATTATCAAAGCCTACTTTATCAAAGACATTCGAGCATGAGAGAATGGATTTCCATCAGAAGATGATCTAAAGTGGGTTTAGGCAGCGTTATCCAGAGCTGTACATGGGAACAACTGGGCATGATGGCACTGCGCCTACAAAGGTACTCAAACACTTGGAGATGCTTCATTGTTCTCAAGGCGAACATTGTGTAGGGTTATGTGTATGACCCTCTCAGGAATCAGATGCTTTGTACCTTAGCTGCAGTATACAAGATTGGGGAACACACCTCGTTTGGAGCACGGATCACTTTCTAGAAGCAGCATCGACTGCACACGGTTGCGGCTTCATCCGCTATCAAGAATGGACAGTTGATTATTAGATGGCGGAAGATCTGCAAAGCCGCGAAGCGTGTCCCTGCTAGACGCCAAAACCTTGCGCGAAGTCCCTTCTCGTTTCGCCAGAGAAACAGGGCAACGAAGACAGACTAAAAAGCGATTGACTCCGACGACAGAAAGGGAAGAATTCAAGACGATCATTTGTTTCAACTGAGATAGATCATATGTTGAAGAAGTTAGAAATATCATGCAGGAATGGCCAATGTGTGATAGATAACGGCGCCGAAAACAGCGTGTCTACAGACCATCAGTGGTCACGAGATTCACTTACATATCCAGCTGTGTGTTTCTGTCTACCCCAGGTTTCACCCAGAGCTTGAAGAATGGGGCGCGAACGGATGTTAGAACCGTTAGCGGCCATGATAAGGCTTACGAGAAGCGGCTCCCTTACCCGGTGCCTTGTTTCTTTCGTGTGTTGTGTTGTAGCCTTGATGTGTGGCTGTCATTATTGTTCTGGTGCGTGTAAGTACCCAAGCCGCATCATTAATATGTAGAGCGACTTGCCGAGATGCCACAGGAGCAAAGACTCCGGGACCAAAACACTGGGACCGCTGCCTTGGAAATGACAAGAATGCGCTGTAAGCAAGCTGTGGCTGGTAACGTCAGGCTTGGATGCTGGAGCCAATGGCATGGCAACGAGGACAGCATTCCAGGCGGCAGATCTGCAGCCTCAGGGGCCAGTAGCGGGCATCTAGCGAGGACGTTCGCGGCCTGTCTCGCCTGTCTCGCCCGTCTGGGCTTCTGTGGTGGGCAGCGGTGTCATCCACACGCAAAACATACGCTATTACCCCGCGGGCACAGCGTCATCCATCGACGATCGCCGGAAGCGTTTTAGTTGCCGCTTTGGAGAGTCGCCTGCGTGCATTTGCCTTTTGGCGGGCGTGTCGCGTGGCCTTCATAGTAGAGATGCTAATAAGGATGCTACCTTAACTAGGTAGGACATTTGCTAAGCAAGCCCGGCTAAAGTACATTTAGTATGGTTTGCTGACCAAAAAGATACCTTGGACCAAAGCCTTGACGTCATCGTGCGAAGGACGGACGCAATGGGCCACAGTGACGATGGGAGGCGGAAGGAGCGACACACACCAAATGCAGCCAACCTGGAACTCTCTGCCTCTGCACTGAGTCGTTGATCCTGTCGTTATAAAGCCACAGTACAAATACCCGTCTAGACCCTCCTCTCTCAAACCTTCGTAGAAAGAGGAGCTACACCCGAGACACTCATTTTACTCGTCTACTCAAACACACTCAACAACACACCACTTACAGCTTCTACAAGCACAAACAAACCAAGCTCATCTAAAAATGGCCGTCACTACCGCAGTCGAGGATCTCTTCAAGAGCTTCTACGAGCTCTTCGCCTCCATCTTCAACACCATCTACAATGTGCTACACGCCTTCGTCGCAACCATCGTGAACTTCTTTGTCGGCATTCTGAACCTCGTCCGCGACGTCCTGTCCGGTGTTGTTGACATTGCTGGCGGGCTCGGCAAGTTCGTCGCTGGTAAGTGCCCCCTCGACCATGTCATCACTTTTACACCGTACGAGATAAGCTGACATCTATGCTCTCCAGGAAACATCGTCCTCATCGGCATAGTTGCGGCGGGCGGCTACCTGTTCGTGCGCTACCAGGCCCAGCAGGGCAAGCCCGTCAAGGCTCAGGTCAAGAAGACCAACTAGACCATGGCCGTGACGGTGACGATGAAATCAGAAGCATGGATAGGAATAGCAGGGAAGGAAACCTAGGAGTTACGGCAGGATTGTGAGGGACATACCACTATGCACTTTGCTTTCGACTTAGATAGTCATCACAATACCCCTGGGGATGAAAGAAGTGATTACCCTCGTTCACACGAAAATGACACGCAAATTGCCTGCATTGTGAAGGTCGAGATTCTGTTTTATTTGATTGTCATGTTATTTGATCGGTTACGTGGAAGACCGCTGCCAGAAGTCGCGCCACATCTCCTTGAAGCCATAATTTGGCACCTTGGAGTCGTAGATCTTGGACGTCTTGCTCTCCCTGGCAAATCTGTCCAGAATGCTGCCCTGGCCATGGCCAATAGGATCAATCAACGACTTTTGCGGTCGCGTTGCGCGTTCCTTGATCTCCCGGGCCAATTGGGGCGCCACGTCCGCGAAGCAAGCCTTGAGCTCGCGGTCGAGAGAGAAGTACGGCTTCTTCGCCAGCTCGGGGGCCATCAGGTTGTATGACCTCGTGAGAGCGTTCATGTTGTTGATCGCCAACTCCATGTATGATCGCTCAACCGCCTCCCATTCTGGATCTCGAAATGGTTCGGTGAAGCTGATATCGGGTTCGGCTGCGGCAGATGTTGTTGTCGCCGGAGCGGGTGGTTCAGGCAGTGCCTCTTGCCGTATAGCCACCATGACCACATCATCCGTTGTGTTCGTAGGCACAGCAATCTGGTCGACGTTCCGTCGCCGCGGGTTGTGCACCTCTTCTGCCCTGGCGTACTCGTTTGCCCTGCGCATCTGCTCCTCCAACGAGCCTCCGCGGCTGGAGATGGTTCTGCAAGCATGCCTCCTCCAGTCATTCCGTAGTCTCGCCCGGAATACCGTAGCCGCTTTCACGAGCTCCTGCTGCTTCTCAATCCACGGCGGCACAATGTCCTGCCTCTTTATCATCTTGTTCATGATGTATTCTGTCGTATCTATGAACGGATTGTCCGCTCTCGCATCCCGCTCTACACCTTTCCCTCTCGGTATATTCTTGAACTGCCCTCGAGCAATGGCGTCCTCTATCCTTTCGTTCGCCAGCGCCGCCAGTCCGGATATCGTGTTTGGCAAAGCTCTCGCAGCAGGCGTGAACCGGTCTCGAAGCTCCTTCTTCATCGCCTCACGCTCCTCGTCCGTCAAGCCCCGCGTGTCCTTCATCCCCATGCCCGAGTACACGGCCGCCTTGTCCCGCGCGCTCGCCACCTTCCGCCCGGGACTGACAACTGGCTCCCGCCGTAGCCGCATATCGACAGGCACCGGCTGCGGTATGTTCGGCTTGCCGCGCAGGCCCGGCCGCAGCGGCTTGTGCGCGTCGTCCAGCATGCGCAGCACGGCGTCCGACTGCGTCTCCTCGCCCGTCCACGGCTGGGACGCCGCCATCGCGCGCGTGCCCTCGCCGGCGCTCGCGGGGAACTTGGATGTCAGGCCGGCCTCGCGCAGGGCGCCGGCATTGTCTTCGCGGAAGCGCGCGTCTGCGATCTTGTCGAGCAGGCGGCTCTTCAGCTCGTCGCTGAAGCCGGCGTCCTCGACCGCGCGGCGGCCCGCTCGGCCTCCTGTGAGGAGGGCTTCTTCGGTCGCTTCTTCGAGGCGGCGGGCCATGGGGCCAGGCTCGGGGTTGGAAGCTTGTGGTGTGGGTTCCGAGGCATCTTCAGTCGCCGGCGAGGCGGGCTTTTGAGCTTGGACATCGTTGGAGGAGCTCTTCCCGCTGCTTTCATGGAAGGTTCGGAGGGCTGTTCGGGATGGCCAACTCTGAAGCCGTTGTCGGATGACTTTAGAGCAGCTTCGGCAGAGATACGGCGTAGCTACCATTGCGAATGATGCAGGCGCCGATGCGAATGGGCATCATTCCTTGGAAATACCAATTCAATGGCACTCTGAGAGCATGTCTCGATGGTGAGTAATGTCGATAAGCTCTTTGCCACTCTGCTAAAGTCTGGAAGATCGGCGTTTAGATACCATCACTAACCCCGCTGGTACCTGAGCTCGCTGAGGTACCCAGGTATCTCGACAGCCCCATGAAGGCAGATGTCAATGAATGTTCACAGTTATAATCAAATTGTTTTATCAATCCATGCTGTACGTGCCAGGTACAGTGAAGCTGGGAGTAAGATAGCATAAAATATCACACGCCCACTTTGAGTATATTGTTCACGAGGTAAGCTACTTAGTTGCAGCCTAGCTGCAACCCTTGTTTATTTGGGCAAAGCCGACTCGCAAATCAATCTTTCTGCTATATCAAGACAAGTCCGAAGTGTGCGTTGGCTTAAATGTACATTCCTTTAGGAATGGGATCAATAGTTTCAGTCTCACGAACCAAAAGTGTGTGGTATTTAAAAGAAGGAAAGGCCCAAAAAAGGAGCTGTATCATATCACCATTGAGGACCAGGCTGTCTAATGGCCGGAAGGTAGACATGATCCCTTGTGTTCACTTCATGATCAGTATCAATTTATAAACTTATGGGTGTGCTATGAACTAAGAGTTGTTCAATTTCCTGAGCTTGACGAAGCATTGTCTCGGAAATGTTGTTAGCATGTCCACGCCATCATATGAGCTCAACTCTGGCGCACACTGCTCGAACTCAAAGTTCCAGACCAACAGTACAACAACAATGCGTAGTTCCAAATATGCTAGTCGCCTTCCAAAGCACCCTCTAGGTCCAGCGCCAAATGGAAGTGACGGGCCGGCATGGAGATTGAATGAGACTCGCCGAAATTCTCCATCTCCTGCTCCGTCTTGATTGGGCGTCAGCCACCGCTGTGGCTCAAAGGCTGCTGTGTCTTCCGGATCCCAGTCATGCACGCGATCTTTCGATGCCTTGCTACTTGTAGATCGGACAAATTCGGGTACGGGAACTATAGGCCGAGAGATCGAGGGTCCACCGGTATACATGAGGACATTAGTTCCTTTTGGAATAGGATGGCCGAGGATAGTAGTGTCTGCCGTCGACTGGCGAGTTAAAATAGCAAGTGTGTTAGAATGACGAAGAGACTCCTCGAGAAAGGCATCGAGATAAGGTGCCGTCGTACTTGTAATTTCTGTCACACTTGGTATGCGTTTCTCAACGAATGCCACGGCGAAAGCTTCGTGGAGCTGCCGCCGTAAACATAGCTGAGCCGAGTGATGATCCGCCAGGAACTTCATGATCCATGCTAAAGTCGTAGAGGTAGTCTCATGGCCTGCCAAAATATAACCGAAAAGCTAAGGATAGAATTAGAGTTATCGACACTCTCATGAGTACTTCCACATACCTCGTCCCTCATTCGAGGAGTCTGGAACTCGGGTGTTCGACCTGCTTTGTCGGCCGCCGCAACTTCACGCAAGATCATGTGATCCATTGCACATTTGGCATCTCTATCATGTCTGCTTCTCAACAATCTTGTGGCTGCCTCGTTGATATGTTTGCTGAGGAACTTCTCCTTCAGCTTGAAATCCTTCCTCCACTTGGTTTTCCTCAGCACCCAGTGATGAACCTCGGGTATAGGCGATGTCAAGGTCACCTGCAAGGTCTGTGTGACTTTCATCAAAGCCTTGACTTCTAGTGATGGCGCACAACGTTGGAAATTGATTGGTTCATCCACTCCTATAGGCGGTATGAAGTCCGTTTGTTTCAATAATTCGTCTCGCTGAGCTTGTATGATGCTGTGTTCTCGACTCAATGCAAAAGAAACAGCTAGAATAATATCCATGGCGGCAGCGTGAATGTCTTCGAACGCAGAGAAAGGCCGCCCTTGGGCGAGATCTGCCTTAACCGTCCACAACTCAACAAGATCCAGAGTTGTAGAGTATATTGATGGAGCAGAAACCTGGTCGACATTAATTTCAAGTCAGTAGTGGACGTCTGTGGTTTCTCACCTCGCTTAGAAAGCTAGGCGACATCAAATCCTTGACGAGTTCTTTGTTTGCTTTGAACCTCGAATCGATAGAGCGCATCGAGATATGGTGGTCTGGGATAATAGGCCCAAAGTACTTGGTCGTCATCATACCGCGGTCTATCTCTTTCGTTCGATGGGTAATGATGTCTTGAATTTCCCAGTAGTCGACGATCATCACTAACGGAGGCCCAAACGGCACAGGGAAAAATTGAAAGATCGGCGATTTATGTCGATAACCCAACTCTCCAAACCAAGGTCGAAAACCTTTGCCCTCTCTGAGAACTTTGATCATCTCAGGTATGTCTCCAAGGATGCTCGACGCCGCTGCTTTGTTATATGGTATACCCGGCAACGGTCTGGGCAGAGCGAGACGGTAGACAAGATAGAACACGCCCGCGAAGACGGTGCTGACCAGAGCCTTTGGCCACGAGCCCTGCAATGGCAGTGAGAGTGTTTCCCATATTGCAGAGGCCATTTTCGTCTCAAGATCACGCAAGTTTATCCTGGACTGTTTAGATCGAGGGGAAAGATTTTTGCACGAGCTCTCTGCGCTGGGTGAGCCAATGCTGATTGTGGCTGCTCACATCTGGCAGTTATGAAATCATAGCGGCCATGTCAATATCTTGAAAGAATTGACTGTCTACTCGTGTATAGTTGTGACAGAATGTCAAAGCCGGCGACTGACGATGGCGCAAAGGCCATAAATTGTTTCGTGTCCCAGCATGATTGCGGCGGCACAGTCCGTTATCCACCTCCATCGCAACCATAGCGAGCCAAGCTTGTCTGGCACCTGTTCCAGGGCATTGATTTTGCGACCCACAACGGCAACCAGACAGGTAGCCACTGTGGCCTCGGCCTTATCGTGACAGGCGACCTTCACTAGTATTCAGGAATCTCAAGAAAGCGTCGAGATATGGTCTTCTCGAGCCAGTCATGTTTACGTAATTGCTTTCAGCATTTTGATACATGATCTGCCGTGCAGTAAGCACTTTTAAGTCATCCAAATAAGCGCACTCCAACATATTATATCATTCATGTGGCCTCTGCAGGTAATCCTTATCCGAATTACCGACTGCCGACAGTATAGGGACCTGAAGCCCCTCACCAATCATGCGATCTCAATTCAAATATCTGCCTAGAATTTCCGGTAACAAGTCCCAATCTCAAGGTCGCTTGAATGACTAAGGTCCAGGAGTGTGATATGGCGACCACGAGTATACCAGAAAACTATTCTTCCCTACCATGGAGGCAAATCAAGGTCTTGAACCATCCGCCTGGTGCTAAAGCCGCGACAAAAGTCATAATCCTGACCATCAACCGCCCTGAAAAAAGCAATGCATTCACGGAAGAAATTGAAAATGACATGATCAAAGCTTTCAATCTTTTCGATGTCGATGATCGCGTGAAAGCGATTGTTGTCACGGGCTCTGGTAAAACGTTTTGTGCCGGCGCTGACTTAGACATCGGGCTTGAAAGAACGCCAGGAGAGAACAGCAAGGATCATCGAGATGGGTATGCAAGATCAAGTGACACTTCTCGTAGACTTTTCATCGATGTTTTGAGGATCAACTGAAGCCCATTTCTAGCGGTGGTCGACTGTCGTTAGCTATACACAGGTGCCGGAAACCTGTCATCGCCGCCATTCAAGGCTCAGCAGTCGGAGTATTCATATCTAATGGTTCTCATTATAAAATGGAAGGAGCTGAAACTTATACAGGTTGGCATAACTATGACGCTGCCAATGTCTATCCGTATTGCTTCTGCCACAGCTAAGATCGGCTTCGTCTTCGCCCAGCGGGGCGTTGTTATGGAGGCTTGCTCGAGCTTCTTCTTGCCTCGGCTGATTGGATTCTCTCGTGCTTTGTTGGTTTCCGCTACTTCTTCTGCATCACAAAATAATAAATACTCATTGTATCTCAAGGTACATGACGACGACGGGATCTGTCATATCTGCAACGTCACCAATCATACGGGACCTCTTTGCTGAGGTTTTGCCTTCTCCCGAGCAAGTGCTTCCCCGAGCACTGGAACTCGCGACGCAGATTGCAGAAAACACTTCGACAGTCAGCACGTACTTGATGAAAGAAATGATGTGGCGAAATCCGGGATCCGCTGAAGGAACTCACCTGTTAGACTCGGAGATCATGTTCCAGCTGTATGATAAAGCCGACAAGGAGGAAGGCATCAAGTCCTTTCTAGAAAAGAGACCGGCCAGATTTATTGGAAGCGTCAACGCAGACTTACCTGAATGTGTCCCATGGTGGCAACCACTTGATGTGGGAAAACGGAAAAAGAATTCTGCAATGTCCAAAATTTGACCTTCAGGGTGCCAAGCAATGGACGATATTCTACTAACCTGGCAACTTGACTACGTCCCGGCTACAAATGGCTTGGTACAGTGCTATTTCTAGTGCATGAAGACGAAATCTCCGCTTTAGCAACACCTGTTGATGAAGAGACCACAAACGCCACATCAACCTTGATGGGCATTTTAGAACTGCTAGATCAGATGCCAAGATGATCCGAAGAAATCGCTCGTCTGAGTTGGGCTAGGTGTGGCCAATGAGCTCAACAAGACAGTCTTAGGTCTACAAATGACAGCAAGGTATGGATTTTCGAATAACTGGTCTTTAGAAACAGAATATCTCGGCTTCTAAATTGGATGTTTACTGTTTTCCAGCGGACTTTATATTCAGTGTCGATTGAGGCTCGGATATCAAGTTCACTTCTATTATTAGCCCAAAAAAGGGTGATCAGAGCACAAAGCCATACGAATATCACAGTACAGCTCTCCTCGATATCTGAAACGGACTTTTGTCGCGTAGCAAAATTAGCTGTTGCGAGGTTATGTGATAAAACGATATTTACTACTGCATCACGCGAGATGGCAATTGTGGCTATCAAGGTTCCCTCGCTAACTGTGATATCAGTGCAAGTACTTTACTAGGCGCGTGCGTGACTATATAAATGCCCTTGCCCTCATATTGCAGGGTCAATGTTTGACTGCTTTATATAGTCGAAAATACGAACGCATGATATTTGATATAAAGTGGCGACATGTTGATGTTGCGAGCCTTGCCAAGACTGGCCATCTTTGGGCTGGTTACTATGTTCTATGAGTCTGTTCACGCGCATGTCGCCTATTTGGATCACGGATACCACAACTCTCTCACCAATGCATGGGAATTTCCAGACGATGTGGACACACGGTTTCTCATGATTAACTTCGACTGCCCCTCAGAGGCTTCCTACATGAAAGTGGTAACCAACGGTACTACTCTTGGTGTTGGAGTCGGCATCCCTAACATCACGGCAATCACCGACTATCGACCTTCACTCTGGGTGATTGGAAAAAATCTCACCATCCCGGACTCATATCAAACAGATGCGGCCAGGGAACAAACAGGCATTGGGGCGGGTGATACCTTTCAGCCTGTCATTCCTCGCGGTTTCACAGCCATCGAAATTTCGACTGAGGGCACAAGCAGCATCCACCCGTTTGCTGAAGATGGAGGCGAAATTTCAGGTTTTAACATTCTTGGATCTCGTATTACACTCTCTGCTCCGGGAGAAGTGTTCTTGGTTTTGCAGCCAAAGGAGAACCGGCGCGCAAGGGCTTACGTTGCTGTCGGAACTCATGAGACAGCGGTGGCTCAACCAGGCTCCGCATCAGACATTGAGATGCGAGCATGGTTCTCTGAGAGTGCTACCCCTCGGATAGGAGAACGATGCGTTCCCTGGTCGGGTTGATCACCTTTCAGTCGAACTCACAAACAAGCATAGCAAATCGGATGGTCTTTACCCGATCAAAAGAGAGTAATAGAAGCTAATTACCTATGATTTCAACATGTCCTAAATTGTCCTTGATGGATGTGCACCAATCTCAAGGCTGTACGACTTTCCAGTTTCTGGAATGGGTGTATCGTTTGAGTGAAACAAGTGTGGCCAGAAGTTAAGCTACAGTCCAACCCATGTCTGTAGGGACTAATGCGCCATTTATGGTACTCATTCCATCGGAGCAAAGGACCGTGATTGTCTTGGCCACCTGCTCGAGCGGTGACCATCCAACGTGCCAACAATTACTTTCAGGGTTGAGCGGCTCCCCTATAGCACTTCTCGATGTCGCGCTTGCTGTACAATAAGTCAATAATTTTCTGACATCAGTCCATCAGTGCTGCTTCAGATGATGAACTTACCTAAGGCAAGGCCTTCTGAATGTAACTGTGATACATCGTGTGAAGATCGGGCCATGTTGGTCATCATCGGCCCCGGCATGATGGCAATGCAGCGGATGCCCTTAGGCCCATAGAAAGCCGCAGTGCTCCTAGTCAGACCGGCAAGGCCGTGCTTGGACGCTGTGTATGCCACACCTAGGGAGTTCTACTGCTTAGCTGTGTTGTGCCGGTGTGCTACTGTACGAGAGGTCTTACCAGCTCGACCACCGAAACTCCCTGCTGCGCTTATAACATTTAAGATGATGCCTCGCTGATCACCTATCAACTCTTGTTTCAGAAACTGCTTGATTGCATGTTGACTCGTCACAAATGGTCCTGTCATGTTCACCAGGATGTTACGATCCCACATCTCGCGTGGACAGTCTCCTGTAGGATCCAGCCGGTCGTTGACCGCAGCATTATTTATGAGAACATCTAGCCGACCAAATTTCTCAACAATGTCTGCGATGAGCTTTTGCACCTCGGCCTCGTCGGCACTATTGCATTTGTACGGCAGAACGCGAGAACGGTCGCTCTCTTCTATCTCGTCCGGCAGAGCAGAGAGAAGGGAATCTTGAACGTCAGTGGCAACTACATTGGCACCCTCGGCTAGAAAGTTCTTGACAACGGCGAGTCCAAGACTCCCCGCACCTCCAGTCACGATCACAGTTTTGTTGTGGTGGGTTCCTGGCATTTTCAAATGTTGCCAGTGATAAAATTGTGTTGAGTTCCTGCTGAAGTCCTCGGACAGGTGATCGCTGTGATTCTTGTGGGATCCAACTTGAACCAAACTTTGACACTACTTTGATAATATTCCGGTATTGTACAAGTATTTTCCGGCCTCATTCTTTGCCGGCAGCGATGGTATGATGATGCTTTATATGTGCCTTTGGATACGGATACGAGACTGAGACCGACCACAGACTACAACTTCCCCGCATCTGAAGTCTTGTTCGTCTATCAAGTATTGTAGTGATTAAGTACATGTTCACATCACTGCCATGGGTTCCAGTAATTGGCTTCATCGCACGCGAAGGGGTGTCGCCGTAGTACGGGGTGTTGGTGACTCCGACGAGGACGGTGTGATGCTGACATGTTGCAGTAGGAGGGCACTTAAACGTTTGGCGCAGACCTGAACTGGTGAGTCGGTAATAGTATTGGGTCGGACATATGTTGAGATTTGTTCTAAGTTGCCCCAAAACTTTGGCCTAGAAAGTCACAACCCAACTGAGACGTAATATGCTTAATTGCTAGGATGTACGCTGAGATGAGTATTCAACCATCAGCGGGTATCCCTTATTGAAAAGACCATACCCCTTATCATGAAAGCCGTTCATTAAGCCCATCACTGATCGTCATTATAGTTACATGGCACAGAAAGTTGCTCATATATGCCAGAAATTGAGAAAAACCACCGAAAAGCTCTCGTCAAGGACCCTCTGCTATGCCAAACCATAATGCCAACAGGTCTCCACCCAAGGGGTTATATACTAATGTACCATGAGTTGCAACAAAAGACATTTAGCGCCATGACATACAGCCACTGACCAAGTTCTACTCTACCTTCACACAGTCTCTGACCAGATTGGCAAGAAAATGAACAACAAAACGCCCAGACTAGCAAATACCGCACCGCCAATCAAGCTCTGTACAACGATCTTTCGTTGCAGCATGCGCAGATGGGCATCCTGAACCTTCCACTTGCGATCGAATATCATCAAGCGCGAGAAGAACTTCATGATACCAGAGCGCTGAGAGAGCAAAGAGGCGCTGTCGTCGAAACGCTCCCACGGCAACGGCTGGCGGCGAGAGAAGAGAAGAAGAAAGAAGCAGCTACCGCGAAGACCAGAGAGAATGAGCGATATACCCAGCCACCACATCGGCCACGCAGCGAAGGTATCCCAGCGGCTGTGAGCACCCATATGCGGAGTGAAGGCGCGAAGCAAGACGCACATGAAAGCAGCGACTGTGAGAACGATGCCGAGACCAGTTGCCATGCAGATCGTCTCGAAAGTCCCGTTAGAGACACCAAGACGGACGAAGTTACGATGTGAGCAGTTACGTAGAAGCAGGTATACATGCTCGGCAACCGGACGGAGGTGGATGGGGTCACAAGACGTTTGTAGCTCGATGAGGGCCTGTTGTCGCATGGCAGGAGGGATGTTAAGCTCCTTCTCTGACCCGGGTAGTAGGAATGCTTTGGTAATAGCATTGATTTCTGCACGATTACCAGTACCGGTAGTGCTCAGGGGAAGCGAAGCCGTGGTATCGTGACTAGTACTGGTAAGAGTCTGCTGTGACGATTTGGATAGTTTGCCAAGTTTCGGTGAGCATTTTCCAGTTGCGCATGGCACGTCAGGACTGATGAGCTGAGTGATCCGCTCAAGTGTGTCATTCGCTATGTCTAGTGTTAATATGAAGGCCTTTGGAGCTCCCACTTTTGAATACGGATGACACACCTATTTCCGGGTCGCAGGAGAAGTCAGGGACCTCGACGGTTGAGAGTCTACCACGATGCTTTTCATCTGAAATGGTGCTTCCTGGGGCGCTGTGGAGGGAGCCATCATCCTTGTGGCCTGCTGTTTTCGTGTAGCTGGCCTCATAGTTCTTGTACCTATATCTTTGTGAAAGGGTGTCAAGGCCTAGATGTTGGTAAACTCACCATATATAGAACTCCAGATTCTCGGGAGAGAACTCGATATACTTCAAATACATGTAGAAATCGTATAGCGACATCGGGCTGCCTACAGCACGATTTAGTCAGTACCGAACAATTGCATTCGTCGCGGCGAAGCATACATGTCTTGTTCTCCAGAACCCTTTCCAGTCTTAGTCGGGAGGGGATAGCACTCTTGCCGCGACCATCGGGACTGATTGGTCTCCTCCCGGTGCCGACGAGAGTGGAATACTCTTTGATGTCTCTGTACTCTGGCTTCTTGTACCAGATGAGGAAGGAGGGTAGACGCATGTTGATGGTTTTGAAGTTGCAAATCTAGAACAAGACTGACTTGGGGTGTTCAGAAATGGGGCAGTCTAAAAGCTACTTATCTCCCGTCTGGACTACGACGTTTGAGAGCGGAAAGCGGACGGACAATGTGGAATAGTGTACTTCGGCCACGCGAGATGCTTATATGGTCAAAGACAGCCCTACCCTCCATCAATGTCCCCGCTTGCAAGAGCGGGCACCGAAAGACCGGGCGTGCAGCAAAGACGTGCACTAGCTGGACTTCACGGACACGCTATGGCCGTAGGGTAACTGGACTGGGGTGGTCGATGGGAGGAAGGGATGAAAGATTGTCAACACCACATGTAACAGTGCGGGATTTGCCCTGCAGCCCGCCAAATGAAGAGCAAGCCACGGCAATCAATTCATTTAGGTGTCACAGTCCAGTGGCGGCTTGCAGAAAGTGTAAGTGCACCTTCCCAGTCTGCTGGAAACATGGCGGCAAGGACTGGGGTCTATCGATGATGCCTTCTCGGCTTTGCATTGTCAATGAGAGGGATTTCATGCCTTCCACGTGGCCCCGGTGGGTGGGCGAGGCCTGCGAGACCATCACAGGTGGACGGGCATAAACAATGAGGCGCTCAATAGCTGCTTGGGGGTTTCCGAATCTGTTCTGAGCTGACATGACGTGCCCTACGTGCCTGCATCCATGACCACCCACTCAAGGAGGGTACTCTGGTACACAGTCCGATCATGCAGGAACCTGCATGGACTCGGATCCGTGGCCCTTGGAGTGGATGTCTGTGTGTCGTTGCTGGCACGCCTGGTAACCTCACGTCGATCAATGATCTGCGAAGATCTGCGCTGGGACCCCCTGTCCCTCCGGGCTTGGACCCATGCCAAAGCCGAGCACTGCAGAAGGTGACGGCCCAAGAAACCTGCCCATAACGTGTCTTCACGAGTTAAAATCCAGGCGCCGTGGCTGAAATGGCGGCCGAGAAACGGTATTACAGTGGACGCACACGGAAGTCAGATTGAGCGTGCCGTTGTCCAGGCTGTCAGGAGCGGAGGAAAGCAATCTGAAGAGTCGACCCAGCCGTTGACCTTTGCTTTTTTGGAAGCTGTCTCTTTTTGTCCTGCAACTAAATTATGTATCTAAACTCCCAACGCTGGTACAGCAGACGGCTTTGCGCACCGACTGTAGGCTAGGCATCTTAAGTGTCCTGATTCGTTAATCTGGGCAATTCCAATCCCACTGCATCAGCGCCAGTGTGCTTTCCAGGTGAGGGGATGAGGAGATCGCCCACTTAGATACCCATGGTAGGGGACCGCGGCGGTGTCGCCCCCTGGAAGGAGGCAAGCGGCTCAACACGTCAAGCTTGATCGGTCTCTTAGATTGTCATGGGATGGTACGCTAATGTCCACCGAGGACTGGTGACAATGACCATTTCCAGCCACCAAGCTCAATCGCATGCATCTTGGTTCGGCATACCAGTGATAAGCTGGATAAGATGAGGCCCTTGACCTGTCACAATCCGTTCCACATGTGGAAAACACGCTATCGGTTCTTGCAGCACGTCAACATGGTCCGCGTCTGTTTCTCAGCTCGTCCGTGTGAAGAGGCGCTGGCTACTAGGGCCGTGATTCGCTCAATACATCCGACCTTTACGCCGAGACAGCGTTTGTCCTTGCAATCCCCCTCCGTATCCTCGCCCGCCTTCAAATCCCCCCATGACGTTACATGTCTTTGTCCTTGTCTCCGATCGCGATCGTACTGGGACCCTGGGTGACTCCACCTCGAGAGGGTCTGGCGCGTGGAGTAGGCTCTGGGTCCGCACATGAGCCCCTGTACGTCAGCTACTTAGAGGCTGTATTTCAGCTGAGCGGGCTAGCAGAGGAGATACTTCATTTGAGATACCAAGTCCAGTTCACCTGCTATGGATCCGACTTGTCTGTGGGGTTTCGCATGCATCGACCACGGGCATCACGGTCACCGAAGGAACGGCTTTGCAAAACACACTTCGAAATGATTTGCTACATTCTTTCACGCGTTATCTATGCCGAGCCGTTGCCGGAGCCGTTGAGGGGTGACTTGCTCAAGCGGCCCTCTAACGTGTTTCCAGCACCACTTTAGAAAAAGCAATCATACTGGTGCCCCAAGAACGCCTAAGGCAGTATGACGGAGGAAATCCATCCCTTCAATCCACATCGGTTTAGAGAAATGGATACTTGGCGACAAGAACCAATCGGTTTCCTGGTGCGCCTCCCCGTTTTGACGACGGGAGGATTAGTACGCCGTTTATGTCGATCCAAGGGATGAAGTGACCAAGTTTTAACGTCTTTGGATTGAGTCGTGTCTTAGACAATATGTGGGGAGCGAGCGTTAACAGTCTACCTGGCTTCTATGCTTTACCATCTAACTTATCAACCGCCGTCTGTTGGACCTTTACCGACAGGCTCTTTGGACGCACAAACCAGAAGTTTCTCGTGTCCCATTCCTTCTCCGGGTGTTCGAGACAAAAGTCGAAGTCTCGTATCAGCCGCGGGATCAGTTTCGATATTTCTAGAAGGGCAATGTTCTTCCCGATGCATGATCTCGACCCTGCCCCGAACGGCAGATAGTAGGTATCCATCTGTCTCAATCGTTCTTTATTGCCAAGTTCCGCCTCAGTCTCAGCCTCGAGCCAGCGCTCGGGCCGAAAAGTATCTGCATCAGAGCCATATATCTCCTTGTTGTGATGTGCTACCCACGCATTGATCCCAATGACTGTCCCTTCGGGAAAGTATTGTCCAGAAATGGTGGCGCCGCCTTCAGGGACGAGGCGCCAGAGTGGAAGTCCACCTGCAGGGTGTAGCCGAAGGGCCTCCTTGACAATAGCTTGAAAATAGGGTAGGTCCTGACTCTCCTTGAACGGGATATTCTTTGCATGACATCCATGAGCTGTGAATCCATGTATCTCCTCTTTTAGTTTTGCCATCATTTGGGGGTTCTTCAGCAAGTAATACAGAACGGCGGAGAGACTTAGAGCTGTGGTATCGAACCCGGCCATAATGTTCGACAGGCCCACCATGAATACGTGATATTTAGTGTACTTCTCAGGATTCTGTTCGTTGAGGGAGAGCAGTCTGTTCAGAAAGTCCTCTTGAGACTCGTCCGTTTCCTTAAGCCCATTCGTGGCATTGGAACCTTGTCGAGACTGGAGTCTTTCGCCTATTTGCTGCTGCACAAACTTCGCTATTGTGACCCGACCTTTCGCGCCAGACCACGAGAATTTTGTTGCCAGAGTGAAGAGCCAGTCATGGAGCCCAGCATAGATGCCGGCCAATGTGCCATGCCATGTAATCTTGTCCACTTCATTGATAGTGCCGTCAATATCTTCGCCTTTATCGAGGAACCCAAACCGGCGGCCATAGGTAATGGATGAAATGACATCAAACGCGTAGCACTGGAACCAATGGGCCATGTCGATAGGCTTCGACGCTGCGACCATCTCGTTCAGCCTGCCGACGAAGATGTCGGCACACTCATCTGCAAGCGGCTCATATGAGACCACAGACGTCATGCTATATAAAGATTGAAACCGCTTGCGTGTGTCGGCATGACGCTTGATGTTCCTGTCGGAGAACAAGCTGTACTTGTCATCACCCGGAGGCTGCCAAGCGTAATACCAGTCGCCCTTGGGGAACTTGCTTCCAGCCCCGTACACCATCTTGACTGCGTTGAGATCATCAATGCTGTAGTGGCGTGGGGCGAGCCGAACGACCGGGCCGTACTTGCGGTGAAGCGCAATGTCATCGTGGTGAAAATGACCTTGGCGGACGCGGTTGAACCACCACAACTTGCCAAATCTCGCCGCAAGCGGCCCTGGAATTCGTCGTAGTGGCGACAAGAAATCTTGCAAGGCGGGGAGGAAGATGCGGAGCAAGATACCCGCGACGCAGGTGAAACCCAGTATAGAAATATGCATGGCGACGCCGGTTCTTGGTGTTTAGAAGCGATTAAACATCCACGTTGGCCGTCTTTTCTGTTCAAAGAGATAGGAGGTTGTAAAGGTTCTGAACTACTGATTTCGGAGGAAACATACTACGTCACTCAGCGAATATGAAATCAAAGCGAGCCGTCGTTCCGAAGTAGTCGGTGAGTTGCATTTGCTTTACCCCACATTGCAACTTCTCCGCTCCTGCCCGTGATAACTTGTTGTCGGGGAACAGCTTTGACACTTTTCGACCTAATCCGGCAATAAAGCGGCCAAAGTCAAATCAGAAAGAGACCCCTTTTTGGGTTCTGTCGGCAATTGACTGTACGGATCAATCTTTGCGTGGTTGCGGAACAAAATATTGCCAACGCTACTCAAGCAACGGCAGTTGCAAGCCAAAAATTCTCGCTTTACTATCAAATTTTCCAAGATATTCAATATTTGTCCTCCGTTTTACTCTTTCCCAGCAATAATGAATCCCATATCAAATGACCCGGACCTGGCGTGCCGTACCTTGCTAGAAAAATCAGTGATTGGTTGCCCTTCGTACGCTGTCCCGAATATAGACTCTAGGCCGTAACGACCACCGAGAGAACATGATATGCGCTCTAAGACTAACATTACATATTCTTCTGACTACAAACATTGAGTGTTCTAGCACGGGAACTATAAGGAAGGCCCCTGTGTAAGAGGGCGAACGGAGACAAATGAAGCGCTTTCCGAGTCAATGAGTACGGCTTCGTTGTCCTAGCTTGTTTGTCTTTTGTAACAAGTCTCTAGCCGATCTCGGTAGGGAAATAGTAGTTGATATCTTGACCTCAGTTCTCGGTAGCCTTTTCCGCTGCCATCTTCTCCAGAAGTTCCTTAGCCTTGGTCCTAAACAGCAGACTCTCTGTTGGGTCAACATACTGCACGATCTTCGTGATCTGTGTGCCATCGTCATTAAAATCCAAGAAATAAGCGAATTCCATCTCATGCTTTTCTCCGTCAATGAATTGTCCATAGCCTACAGTCCTCGCCGCTGCCCTTTTTCTTTCTGGATCAATAGTCAAATTGAAGATCTTAGTCGACTTTACAGCCCAGATAGACATCTGCTTCTCGTATTTCACCTGGTATTCAGCGTTGCTGTGCGGCGCTCCAGGGGCCAGATCAACGGCTTCTAAGAAAGCTCTGGAAGCGAGGAATCTTTTACAGTCAGGCGCTAGGTGAATTGAAACGTATTTTGCATTTTTCATCTTGCCTGCGGTTTCGTATTCTGAAACAAACTCCCTAGTTCTGTCTTCTATTGATTTGCTGATTGCCGAAAGTGACGATGACGCTGCCATTTGTTTTGGATTCTCGAGCTTTCTCTCTCGTAACAGTAGGTCAAACAAAATATCCTAAACGAAGTAGCTAAGTATTGCATTCTTCATCGAGAAGGGAGATGGACGCCGCACTCCTATTTATCTCATTCGATGAGGCAGCGACAGTCTGCTGGGTCTAGAGATCTACACGATGAACAGCACTGGTTGGTCGAAGGAGGGTCGTAGACGAACTCCATCATACTGCTTCTGGAAAGCTAGACGACAGGCACAGGTAATTGGTCAGATGTTAGACGCTGAAGGATTCTCAAGCTCCTTCTTATGCTGCTTTGATCATAGCGAGCGGCGTAGTCAAGCTGTATGTAGTTCTAATATAGCTGTATTGTCAAACCAATGTGCGATGTGCTGCTCCGGCAAAACTTTGCTCTAGAGGGTTCGTATTTTCGTTTTTCTTCTGTCTACCTGTAACATGATTACAAATGCTACCCGTGCTGTTCCGCACCATTTTCTTGGCTGAGTCGGTGACTTCACGTTTTAGGAGGCACAGGCGGCGGCGGCGATAATCCAGACAAAGGCCCATCCCGCTCAAGGTCATTCACCAATGATGACCAAGTATCTCTATCACGACTTTTTCTGAAACGACTCTCGCGAGGAGACAATCCCCACGAGTCAGACTGGGGTGAGGCTTGAGTAGTGAAGTTGACAGCGAAGCGTGGGGATAGAAGTGATTGCGGTAGCTGGCCGTTTTCTGCTGTCTCAATTGACAGCTTTGAATCATGAATCAAATCAACTTTATCAATGCTGCTCCTGCCAGCAGATTCAGCGCCACTCGTTGCGCGCTTGCGGGATCTGTTCGTGCGGAAAGAGCTGCGGGAATGAGTCAATGTTGAAGATAGTTTCTTGGACGCTAAAGAAGTATTGATGTCCCTCAAAAGCGATCTTAAGACAGGAATGCACTGGACCATAATCGTTCCGGTGATTTCAGACGAATACCTATTGTTCTTGTAAGTATAATACGGCCTGCGTATGAAGTCGGGAAATCGAGTCAATCTTACCACACCTGCGACAAGCCGTTACGCCCTGTTAGATGTCAGTGGGTGTTCACCGACATGGAGCAAGCAGAGCCACTTACATATATACCACTCATCCCTTCCATTGCCTTCATCCTTCCAGGCCACACGAACGGCTGCTACAATAGCAACACTTGATGGCCTTGTCAGTTTCTCTTTCACTTCATTGTATGTCGCAGAGATCTCACGTCATGCCAAGGCTCATTGTGACCCCAAGTCCTATCTTCTCTACCCTTTTCATGTCCAAAGGCTTTAATACCAGCCATGGAATGAAAGCAAACACAAAGTCCATGATAATGTTGTAGACTATCAGAAATTGTCAGCATGTGGTCATCATCATGGCCTTAAGATATCGGAACGTACTATTTCCACCTTCCTTGAAATCATCGCGGAAGTCCGCGCCAATGCAGAAGTCCAATCGGTACGAGTTCTGGTAGCTTTTCTCGTTACAGACTTTGGCCCACTGAAAGATCGCTTTTAATATCATCCATAGGTTCATCGTACCAATGCAGAACCACACCACCCATCGCAGCCAGTTCTTGGTCATGCGTAAGAGTGTTACTCCAAAAGCTGTTTTGGTCAAAGACTGCCCGATCAGGGTACCACAGGTCGTGATATTGATTAGTATATGCATCCTGTCGTCCCATTTCTGAGTTGAGTCTTTGAGCACGTAGCCCGTCGCAAATTCGTGGACAATGAGGCTGTCATTCACGAGAAGCACCATCTAGGCGGGTACGTTAGGCGGACTTCAGGTAAGCCGTTAAGTAGACTGTGATTCAAGTATAACTTACCCACGACAGGATGAGAACATAGTCGTCGTACCAAAGCCCATGACGTCTGGTGACCTTCACCCAAAGCCTAAGGGCCAAGAGGACTGTAGCGCCCGCGAATAAAGACCACAATCCGGCATTGAGTTCGGTATAGGGATTTACGAAGCCGTGCACTTCTGTTCCATTGTGATTCCGTCGGTCGAGAGCTATAGCCAAATCCATCTCAACGCAGCCTACTGGACGGTAGGTCAGGAAAATGAAGCGATGTCAATAAGCATTCAGGAGAAACCATGGCTTGGTGGGAACGAAGGCACAGAGCGGACGGTAGGGAAATAAAATGTATCGATCCAATGTTCTAATTGATGGGCCCAGGAGATCAACCCGCTCTGTCGATCAGAGGCGTGGCATCCTAGTTCTGTTTGAAAAACCGACCCTAGCAGGGTGGTAAAACGAAACCGTTTCATAATTATGTCGCGAGCGATATAGTGCCAAAGCGTCCGAACACCACTTAAAACACCCCACTCCGATCATCCTATTTATCGTCGCGTATGTTGTACAACACCTTTTGTAGCTGATTATACAATAGATGAGTTGCTTTCAGCCTCCTAATGTAATGCTTGATGACATTAGAGACGAGAGATAACAGCTCAGTTATCTTTCTGCACATGTATGGCCAAGCTAGGGACAGCTTGAACCAAGGGTGGACTAAGATGCAGCACAAATGGATCTGTGCGGTGGTTGTTTGCGGGGTTCGACAGAATCAATAGATCTCAAACTCCAGCCTCTTCTTGCACCAACCGAGCTGGCGAATGTAAATGTAGAATATATTCACCTGTTTTCTACAACAATACTCCATAATTATTGTCGCTCTCCCGAAATCTCTCGGTTAAATATGCGGCGTATACATTATTGGCTCATCTTCTTTCTCATCTCCTCGGCAAGCTGCCTCACTTCACCCAACGCCTCTGTTACAGCTGGCCTTGCGCACAGCCTTTCAAGCCAAGCCGTATACTTCTTCCATTCACTTGTGTCCACCTCCGGTGCCATAACTGCGAGCATATTGGTGAAATACATGATGAACATGAGATCGGCGTAGGTCACTCTGTCGCCTACCAGGTAGTCTGTCCCTTGCTTGGTGAGGTGGGAGTCAACCACGCCGATAACTCTCTTGATCTCATTTCTGTATCGCTCGATTGCTGACGGGAGTTTCTCTGGATGAAACATTTCAAACCAGCCTTTCTGTCCAAAGTACGGGCCTTGACCACTCATCTGGAAGTGTTCCCAGCTGCGAGTGGTATATTTCTCGGGGAAAGAAGTATAGTGCAACAGCGCCTTCGTATCGTATACATCAATGAGGTAGTCAATAATGGCACCAGACTAGAAAAAAATGTATGTCAGAGTCTCGTAACTTTACTTTCTTGCGCTGTGGGTTGTTTTACCTCCCATAATGTGATGTCTCTGTTTGGATCTACAACTGCAGGGGCCCGACCATTTGGATTGAGCGACAGAAATGGCTCCTTTTTGAGCTCAGCCGGATCAAGATGCTCAACTTCGTAAGGAAGACCAAGTTCTTTCAGAATGATAATAACTTTCCAGGGATTGGGGCTTGGTCCGTGGGCGTAGACTTTGAGGGGCTTGAGGCTGGCCATTGCTTTGTACTGTGAGCTCAATGTGTGTACTCTGTTGTAGATGAAAGGTAAGATAGTCCATCTCGGCCGACAGCCTCTGCTCTTATAGTCGACTTCTTTAAAAGGGGTTTGCTGACACATCCAACGCAGTTCTGGTATCCGGACGTCATCAGCATTAGTGAGTCCTTTAGACCTTTACAGACTTCTGCCGGGACCCACTTC